TTCTTATAATGAAGATAGGTATCTTTGGGCGGATATGCAGTCTAAAAGAATCGTTATTCTGCCTTGCCTAATATTTGGAGATATTGTCCTTAATTCATTTTTTCACTATGAACTTTGCTCGGAGCATAACTTTGAACTATAAGAGATATGAACATAATTTTATAGGTAGATAGATCTCATTGCGTAAAAATGCAGCGCAAAGGAATCGTAACTTTGTCTTGCCTTTTTAGCTCACCTGCCACAAAGTGACATGGTGAGCTTTTGTGATCGCTTTTCGTCCGTCGTGCGTCCGTCGTCCGTCCGCTGTCCGTCCGTCCGTAAACTTTTGCATTAAACGACATCTCCTCATAAACCGCTAAGCCAATTTCATCCAAACTTCACAGGAATGTTTCTTTGGAGTCAACTTTAAAAATTGTTTAAAGAATTTTATTCCAAGCATAACTCTAGTTGCCATGGCAACCGACAGAAAAAACTTAAAGTATTTCTTTTAGAAAACCGAAAGAGCTTTAGCTTAAATGTTTGGCATGAAACACAATCTAGTCAGTGGTGTCTACCAAGTTTGTTCAAATTAAACCCCTAGGGTAAAAATTGGCCCCGCCCTAGGGGGTCATTGTTTTGGGGTCATTGATTTTCCTTATTTGTATATAAAATAAAACGTAAACACTCTTCTTTTAAGAAACCAAGTAGCTAAAGCTTAGATATAAAGCATGAAACATCTTCTAGAGGGTATCTACCAAGTTTGTTCAAATAAAAGCCCTGGGGTTAAATTGGCCCCGCCCCTGGGGTCATTGTTTTTTCCTTTTTGTATAAAGTAAGAATTTAAAAATCTTCTTTTAAAAATCCCAAAGAACTAGAGCTAAGATATTTAGCATGAAACATTTTCTAATGGGTGTCTACAAAGTTTGTTCATATAAGGGCCCTTTGGTTAAAATTGGCATCGCCCCTGGGGTCATTGATTTTCCTAATATGTGTATTGTAGAAACTTAAAAAATCCTCTTATGAAACACCCAAAGAGCTAGAATTTAAATACTAAGCATGAAATAGCTTCTAGTGAGTGTCTACTAAGTTTGTTCAAATAAGAGCCCTGGGGTCAAAATTGGTAGGGGGCTCATTTTTTTCTCTGTATGTTTATAGTAAAAATTATAAAATCTTATAAAAAACCCAAAAAGCTAGAGCTTAGATTGTTTATCATGAAACACCTTCTAATGGGTGTCTACCAAGTTTGTTCAAATAAAAGCCCCTGGTTTAAAGTTTGCCTTGGCCCAGGGGCCTATACACTCTGTGAGCGATTTTAAGGCCATCATTGCCTTGTTTGGAGTTATTGCCGTTTTAGCTCGACTATACGCGGAATAATCGAGCTAATGCAGTCAATCATTTGTTGGCATTGGCGTCCCTATGGTTAAGTGTTTGCGTTTATGCAAGTATCTCCATAACTACTGAAGGGAATGATTTGAAACTTCACACACATGTTCTCTGTGTTTATCTTACATGATTGGCACAAATCCCTTAACTCTGATTTCCTTTTTTGCATAATTATGGCCCTTTTTCGACTTAGAAATTCTTGGTAAAGTTTTTGCGTGTAACCAAGTATCTCCACAACTACTTAATGGAATGGATTTAAATAACACTCACTTGTTTTCTGTGATTATCTAACATGACTGACACAAGTCCCATAACTTTGGTTGGTTTGCTTTTTTGCATATTATGCCCCATTTTCGACTTATGAATTCTCGGTTAAGTTTTTGCGTGTAAGCTGGTATGTCCATAACTACTGAAGGGATTTGATTGAAAATTCACACACTTCTTCTCTGTGATTATCTTTCATGATTGGTTCAGGTCCAATAACTCTGATTTCCTTTTTTGCATAACTATGGCCCTTTTTCGACTTAGAAATTCTTGGTAAAGTTTTTGCGTGTAACCAAGTATCTCCACAACTACTTAAGGGAATGGATTTAAATAACACTCACTTGTTCTCTGTTATTATCTAACATGACTGACACAAGTCCCATAACTTTGGTTTGCTTTTTTGCATATTATGCCCCATTTTCGACTTATGAATTCTTGGTTAAGTTTTTGCGTGTAAGCTGGTATGTCCATAACTACTGAAGGGATTGGATTGAAAATTCACACACTTCTTCTCTGTGATTATCTCTCATGATTGGCTCAGGTCCCATAACTCTGAATGTTCTTTGCATACTTATTGCCCTTTTTCGGCTTAGAAATTCTTGGTAAAGTTTTTGCTTGTAAGCTGGTATCTCCATAAGGGTTTGTGCCTGTTTTGGGACAATTGTATGTATTTATGATAATAAAGCAGTGATTTACTCAATAAAACATTTTAATAACAAGCCTTTGTACCTATTCGGGAAATTTTATGTATTCAGATAGGTAAGCATTATCATACTCAATGAAACACCCTTGTGACAACTTTTTAAGAATAATCGAGCGTCGCTGTCCTTCGACAATTCTTGTTCAGTTTTACACTTTGAACTTTGTCCAGGACATTACTGTGAAACTACAAAAGGTATCATCAAGAAACTAATTTGGTAGATAGATCTCATTGAGTAGAAGTGCAGTGCAAGATCAGGTAATCTTTCTTGCCTAATTTTGGAATTATTGCATTTTCAACATTGTCCGGGACATATGACTCTTAAACTATATGAGGTATACTTTTCTGTCCGGGGAGCATTACACGGTTCAAACCGGCTCTTGTTTGAGTTTGATTTCAGCTTTTACCATTTTGATTTACTGCGCTATTTTCAATCAGCCACAGGTTGTTTTAAAATTTAGATTTTTGTATTGGCACTGAAAAATTGTGACCTTATTCTAATAATGTCCCTCAGGTGTATGATCTAAGGCCAACATTATTTTCTTAGTTCTGATATATAATAGAAAAGTACTTTTTTATACAACTCTTCCTACATATAAATAATACTTATATCAGTACAATCTGTGAATTTTGAACAACGGTAAAAAAATATTTTTTGTATTTTCAGTTTTAATAGAGCTTTCCTCTGTAAAGAAGCCAATATTGATATCTATATAACAATCTAATAATCGTTAATGACTTAATGACCTATTTATAACATAAATGTCCCTTTTTGCTGATTTATGGTAGCCAAAAGTATTTCTTATATCTATTCTTCACGTTAAAGCATTTAAAACATTTATAATTGAATGATGGTGCATGTTCTACTATTAAACTACAATTGAGCTTGATCTACAAGTTTTTCTTGCCTCTTTTTTATAAAAATTACGAATAAATAATTGTCAAATCTAAATATTCAAAGTTAAACATAATGCAGAGATGAACACGTTATCATCAACCCGAACATCTAAAATCAGGTGTTTGAGTAAACGCTTTAAAATCTAGCTTACAGTTTACTATGTGAATTGTATGATTTAACACCAAATAATTTACAATATATCGTCTGTTGAGAGTGACTGAAAACAACTTTTACCAACTTTTGTCTGGTATCACACTGTTCGACATTCATATAATATTACTTCCTGATTTAAAATTTTAGCAAAAATGCCTTAAAAAGCCTAAATTAGGATAATTCTCTGCTTGTGATGTTGTCACTATAGAACCGGTGTTAAACTGTCTATAAAAAACACTGGTTAGGGACTTCTTGTTTATGCGGCTGTTATGTTTTCTCCCGAGATTACATAATTTTCAAAGCCTTTTAAAGCAACAATAAAAAACATTTCTATTAATATTTTCAGTTCTTATAATGTTTTCTTTTCTTTTATACAATACTGAAATTACATCTGATATACACTAAGGCCACAAATTTGATCCATACCAGTAAATAAACAAGTTCACATCATGCACCTATTCAAATTAATCCAAGAAAAGCATTGATGCAAAGCATCAAAGGGCGTCCATGCAAGAAAAGCAACAAGTGAAGATGAACTAGTAGACATCTGATGACTAGATATTCTTATAAACGTTTCAATGGTTAATTGGTTTTTACCAGAATTGTATAATATTTATGAATGGGCGGACGAAAGACATTGTTCATCATGAACTTTGGTAGGCATGCTAGAGATTAGAATATTATTTTTTCCACAGACACTTGAAATTCTATCAATATTAACGACAATATGCAAAATATACAGGTCTATAATATCCAAAGTGATATTAGTTGTTTGAATATGTTTCATTTTTCATATTTAATTTCCTGATAAATTCTCCAGTTCGTTATTTATAACCATAGCTCGACACGAATGACCGTTTCGTTAAACTTAAACTACTTCTATAAATAGATTTTCGGACTTTCACACTGTTAAGGTCATCATTCTATTTATAGGTACAGTAATACACATTAACCCACTGTGTGTACTACAAAATGATTAATAAAAAAACCGAAGAGCGCGATTAATTGACGGATAAGATAATTTCGCATTGCGAAATTCTCCAGTTCGCTATTCAATGTTCGCGACATTTTATTTTTGATAATCAAATACCCTCTTACCATTCGGAATGATCGGCTATAATAACTGACGAAATGGCCCGAGATGTTGCTGCTGCCCTTTCACAACCATAAGGGGCGTCGCGCTTCAGCGCAGACGCCATAAATTTGACAAAACGGTGCAAATTAGTTAGTAGCGTATTGATGCATCCTAAGTCATTTCAAACATACAAGAATGATAAATCAAACACTGATGTAAGTTTTTTTAATGAAAACTTGAATAAAAATATTTTGTCTTATTATTTCTTTTGTTTAATACTTACTATGTCTTAGCAACAGTAGGGTGCAAAATCGAACAGCGTTACCGGTAGTAATCTCCGCTTGAAAAAAGCATTAATCTAGTGACCTTCCATATTTTATCTCGATAGAATCGAACAATATCAATCTTATTGGTGTTTATCGGCTTTTATGGTCTATTCCTATGCAAATCCTTTTCAAACCGGTGTTAAATAGCCGATAAACAACACTAAGACCGATATTATTTCTTTATCATAAAATCATGGTTTGTAATCTTCTTCATCACTCCAGTTGCACAGAGGGTTGTAGAGAAAGAACAGCATTCAATAAAGAATGAGAAACTCAATGTTAAAATTCACATTCCGTCCAAAAAGTCGGAAAATCCAGATGACATGGCGGAGGAAATGGAAGAGGAGGAAGAGACTGAGCCACCTAAAACAATAAAAGTAAAAGGGATTAACAAATCTACATCGAGAGATACAGTCGAGTTTTATTTTGAGCATTCCCGGCGATCAGGAGGAGGTGATATAGAGACCATTAAAAGTGATGATGAGGATGAAGATGTCCTTTACATCACGTTTAAATCAACCGAGGGTAATACTTTTTTAATTATTACTTGTAAGCATGAACCTTTTAGTTTTTTTTTTTTTGTTGTTGTTTTTTAATGCCAATGAGAGTCTGACTTTATTTTGTATGGTTGCACTCATACATTATGTTGTAATGCAATTTCACTTCCGGTTAAACTGTGAGTGAAGATATCAGTTTTGACTTTTTATGAGTGAAGATATCAGTTTTCACTTAGAATATATCAGGTTTTAACGAATGAAGATATTTATTTTCACAAGTGAAGATATTAGTTTCACACATATTGTGAAACTGAGAATAATTTAATACTAAAAGCTGATATATTCCATCCTTATCAGATTTTGATTTGAAGTTATTAAAACGTCATTAATAATATTGCAAGGAGTTTGTCAAAATTAGTATTTTATTTTATCTCTCACAGTATTTAGCACTTCATTTCCTAATTGTATTCTGTGATGAAACAATTTATAAACATCATGTTCAAACTAGAATTGGTAGATTAAATGATTCAAATGTAATCATTATTATAATACTGTACTTTGACTTCAAAATTCAAAATGGTTAGATATTGTTTATTTACTTTTTCAGTGGCTGTAAGTGTATCGAAGAGAACTCACAAACTGGAAGGAAAATCATTAAATGTTTCCCTGTATGTGCCCCCTGTAGCACCTCCATCGTACGACAACAAAATTCTGCTTAAAGGATTGCAAGCCAGTACAACTCAAGATTGTTTGTTCACTTTTATCGAGGCGAAATCTGGATGCGTGCCAGAAACAATGGACTATCATTCTGAACAAGAGGATGTTGTTATTATTACCTTTAGTGAACCACCAGGTATGAAAACTATGATTTTCCGCTTTTTGAGAAAATATTTATTTCTTCAAATTACTCTTAGCCTGCTGATTTTCTTTAAAAGTCTTGTTTAACTTGCAAAGTTGGAACTGTCCTTAATAAATTTTTAGGGATATCAAGATGAAATTCTAAAGTAAGCCGGCCATGGTATTGAGCCTGGTCAGACTGTATGGATATGATATTACACGGATGAGAGACTGAATAGATGTACAGACTGTCCTGGCTCTATACTGGTGGGAAAGGCTGATCATTTTCAGTTCCAGCAGGGCAAGAGTTAAAAGCCTATTAAAATTTGTTCTCATTTATTTTCTGAAATATACACTGTGTAAATTTTTGAATGTGTGGAAGCTTAAACAAGAATAACAAATTGTTAGACAATACAGTTCTGACCTGCTGTATATAAATGAAAAGTACAGACCGGGTAATTTGTACACATCACGTTTAATTATTTATGTATATTTTACTTATTTATCTTTCTTGTAGACTTTAAGAAATTGGAGAGTGCATTTGATAAATATAAACTGGAAGGAGCGTCACTGAAGATATGTCCTGTACCGATATCAAACTGTATCATTGTGGCAAATTTGGCCTCCGATGTCACCATAGACACCATTGAGTTTTACTTTGAAAACAAAAGAAAGAGTGGGGGTGGAGAAGTTGAAAAAGTTGTGATGAATGAGGATGACACGTGTCTTGTTTACTTTGCTGATTACACAGGTAAGTTAGAAAAATGTTAGTTTGATGCAATTATGGTCCACATTGCATTTTAGGAGCTTATACAAAGTAGTATAATGCCTGGCATTACCATGTTTCTTTCATTTATTTATTTATTTATTTATTGTTAATAATTACAGCACTGATTTATAATGATGTAATGTAATGTTTAAATAACTTTATATAGAAATATTACCGGGAAAATACTGTTTACATTTGCATTTTTACGTGTAACTTAATCATAATTGTCCGACTTAATTAAATTGTAATTGTTTGTATCGAGAATTTCTCGGTACGATTATGAGGTCACCAGAGTTTTCACCTGATAACAGTAAAAACACGAAATGTCATTATTATCTTTCGGTGTAAATGATAAGAAAATTACCTTTATCACTTGTTTGCATAATAATTTATTTAAATTCTGTGTATTTACATGTGTAACATGTAATATCTTTAGATTTGCTGTCCGTGGTCCTGCATCGCTTAGCGGAAGTAGTTCACGCATGCGCTATAAGACTCCTCAACTTGACCCATTGTATACACACCGGTCTCTCAAATATCGACAGTAAGACCGGTGTACACAATGCAACTTGACCTCATTTGGCATGTTAACAAACAGTATTTTTTTAGAATATTTTTTATTTGTTTTACGTCCTGTTATCTGGCAAGTTTTGTTGGTTGTTCCCAGTGGTTGTAAATGAAATAATTATGCATAGTTTTTATTCGGTAATATCTGTGAGTAAATTTTCCTGGCGTCTCCTCCTGAATTCCTTACGGAACTGAGGATTAGTGAGTTTTCGTGAGGAAACACACCTATAAATACGGAGGTTTCAGCGTTTCCTCACTTTACTCGAGCTCCTAGTCCAACTAATTAGACTTGTCAAAGAGACACCGAGATAATTTTGGACGGGCGCTGTCTTTTTTCCAAGTCCAACCACGAACTGCATTTTTATGCACGGACGCTTCCCAATTAGAAGTTGTTGGGAGCGAAAACTAGAAAAGTTTTAAACAAACAGCCTACATTACCTTAAAGAGGACCGTTTTATATGTAAGGTTCCAAATTATCATACTTCAAAGTCAAACAGAAGTCTAAATATTCCACTTTATTTTTTTAAATCGTTGAAAATTTTTGAAAGCGGCCATATTGGAAGCGGTGTCATGGTAAAATTGTGACATTTCATGGTGTAACACAGGTATCGGTGGCAATCGATTGTATACGCAAGCCTTATAATACAATTTGTTTATGTTATTGGTGTGAATTATTGCAGGAATAACTCTTATATTCACACACGAATATTTCAGCATTAAAAATAAAATGTTAAAAAGGAAATTCTGATAACCTTACTTAGAAATTAAATAGTTTATGATGTCCGACATAAGATCATACTGCATTTAAGTCTGTTTAAATAAAATTGTCAAATTATAAAATTATACAGTTGGGTTTTTAAACATCTGTGATCATTAGGTGAAATTTCTGAACTGCCTTTGATGCCCAACATACGAAAATACAATGTAATTGTAGGTATATCTTAATGAATTATATTATAAATAGTCTATACATGATGAAGCAAAGAAGAATTTCAATTTGTATTACACTCCATATCAATTTCTAGTTTATTGTCTTAAAAACAATATTGAGGACAGTTGCGTAGGAGAAGAAGTTCAAAGCAACCAAAAATAACTTAAAAATTTTGAAAAAAAAACTTAAAATTTCACACTATAAAATGAAATTTCAGACTGGCCTTTTCTCAAGTTATTTTAAGGCATACTGCATGCTTGGTGTTCAACCCTTTTACAGTTGGACGCTACGCTTTCCTCTTTTGATTACATCTGACGGACCAAGTGGGAGACTCTATGATGGACAGTTCTTAAAGCCCTTTGGGGACTGAATTGTCTTAATGTTCGCCTTCTGCCTTGCTTTGTCGGGCCCTTGTAGGTGATTTTCTTGTTGCTCTGCCTTCCTTTAAGGTATCGAGTACTTTGGTTATGGTCATTAGGCAGTAACTTTTTCTACATATTTACATAATTTTGTATGTGTTTTATTTATTTCGTCTAATGTAACCATGGCCATTGTTAGAATTTCACTTGGCGGGGATTAATTTTATATACATTTTCGTGTCATTCAGGAACATATTGGGGCTAAGAGTGGGGTTTGGCGCGCCTAAAACCGGTTTAGACTCCCCAGTGGTTTAACTACCACTGACCATTCCAAGGCGGTACCCCTTTGTGTTCCTTCACGTGTTTTTCTTGTCTGTATTGTTACTTGTTTTTGGATGTTTACATGTTTTGTGATGTCTGTCTTGTTGGATTGTCGTTGACGGTAGGTATTTTCTCTTCCCCCCATCCATTTTTAACCCCCCCCCCCCATCTTTTCACCCGTACAGCCCTTTTCCCTTTAATTCCCTTGTTGGCCTGTTTTTGTTTATATTACTTCACATTACATGTCCCGCTCCTTTCGTCCTTGTGTTCACTCCAGGTACTTGTTTGGTGCCTCTAGGTGTCCTGCTTGGGTGTGTCCGGGGGCGGCGTCCTGTGAACGTTGCCTTTGCCTTGTTGATCTTTATTCTTGTTATTTTAAGAAATTACAGCTCTCAGTAAAATGCAATTGTCGCACAGATATGACGGGGTTTATGATAAAAACGCAGCAAGTGGGAATTAAGTAACCGTAATTTAGACGTAGAATAACATAACAATGTAAGACAGATAGTCTGTTTAAATTACTGTAGTCGTCTGTTAGAACGACTGTCGCAAAATTCCATGTTATCTAGTGCCCGCTTTTCATTGAACGGCACCTCGAATGTGTCACATTGAAAGTTCCATGATTACCTCCGTATTTTGTACACATCTGTGGGTGTTGATTCAAAATTTCAACATTATTATGTTTAAGTGATGTTTAAACCGACGCAATGGAGCACTTGCACCTACCAGAGCCGTCTTTGGCACTTATGTGTAATTATGTTTCGGTTTTGCAGTTTTAGGCGTTTTTTGTGGGGGTTTTAAGACGGGGAGATGGGTGGATAAGTTTTTTCTATTTTCTTTACATTTCTTTGCTTGCTTGCCGAACCTTGTATTAATAATCATTATGTGTTTGTTACGGTTCGGTATACATGTATAAAATATGTTAAACAAGATGAACAAGGAAAGGTGACGTTCAATGAACGCAACCCCAACACGACCCACGAACAAGAACCATTGGCAAGGAGCCCAGGAGGATCCTAAACAAAAACAAGACAGGGCGCAAGGGAGAGCACGGTCAGGCTTTTTACTAAAATGATACATATGAAGAAATAATGGTAACTGACAAGGAAATCAAAATCAAAGAAAATAAACAAATGAATGATTAATAGGGCCTCTAAGTAAACGAGCACATGGGAAGGGGATAGGAAATTCAAGGAAGGGGGAGGGGGCGAAATAAAGAAATAAAACTAGGGGCAAAGGGAAGACACTTACCATAGACGAGAAAACAAGGGACAAAAACAAAAGTGTCACCAAAACAGTATAAAACAACAAGACATACACCTTAAACATGTACAAGTCTCTTAATCTGTTCATTTGAAAATTCATATCTTCTCAATGACCTTTTTTAAATACCCTCTATTTAAAATCTATTTCAATTAAAATATGTGACCCTTCCCTTATAGTTACACAGCATATGGCCATCGTCGGATACCCACGATTGAAAAACATGTCACATAACATGATGAATGATAATGGTTCGGCCGTGGGTATCCTACGATGCATATGGCTGGATCACAATAAAGTTCCTTTTTAGTAAATTAATAAAGTATGTCAAGAAGACATTAATCTTCATCAGTAGGTTTAATATGGTATTATTTATCGGCAATCGGTGAAAAAGAATTCTTGAAATATTATTTGTACAAATACTGAGTAATTTGATGTGCATTCAAATAGTTCCCATAAATATTTCTTTTACGTTCTTAATTGTCATATAAATGGTATTTTATGCGAGAGTGACATTGGCAGTCATTAGCAGTAAACAAGAAGGCAAACCACCTATTGATAAATGTTGAGCACATGTATTAAAACATTTAAAAAATATTAAACAACAGTACTTGTACGGAGCCTATTTGCTACCATTGCATTTTATGTTAAACACATTGGTATTTTTTCATTAGTATTTAATAATGAACAAATTTATTACAAAATAATGAATAGATTTATTTCCCCTATATTTTTTTGCAAGTTAATCTTCCTGCGTTACCCAAACTTACCTGCTAGACACAGTGGTAGGTACTACCAGCTTTCACGGAATCGATTTTTTACGATGACGTCATAACATGTCCGCCAAAGATAATGTAGACAGTACAAATTTGAAATAAATCGCATGTATGCGTTAAGACAGGTACAATCTAATAATTTTTCTAGGAGAAGTTAGTACAAGAATTTATATTCTATTTTTGATTTTTAGAGGAAATTGAAGTTACTTTCATGTTTAAGCAGTAAAAATCAGTCAAAACTATCGATATTGTTGCCGGTAGATTTTCCGTGCGTAAAAATGAAAGTTAAAATTAGGCGTAACGGTTTGACAGTAAGAAAAAAAAGTCTGTAAAATGGGTCAAACCGTTCACGCCGAATTAATTAGGCTACTCGAGCTCCGTGACCAGCAGTCAGTTGGCGTAGATCCATTCATATTGCTGAAACCAGACTTTGATATACTTGGTTAATTATTCTTTATTTTATGCTTTTCAGTGGATTACTGATTTATCCGTGAAAATTATATTTGATAATTTCACAGCGAAAATTATCAAAATATAATTTCACTCTTTTCAATATCGAAACTACTTTTTTTAAGATTTTCCCCATGTGGTACCTCAATTTTACTTTTGCTGACAATTCTGATAATGTCCGGCTGTTTAAAGAAAAAGCAAAGCTGAAATTGATAAATAACTTAAATGTCAAAAGTAATAAAAAGAAGAAAATTTACTTCTATTCATTCAAATTCCAATCACCAAATTTCGTCTCTAAATTTTTTTGTTTCATTTTTACAGTCTGAAAAAATCCATTCCTTCCCAATGCATAACTGCTCTTGATGACATTTGGGCATATTAAAGTATCCTACGCAATAACTGCCGTATGCTTTATGAAAAATTGAAAAGCATTGACAGCCATCACTCGAAGAATAAGTAAAACAACCCATCGTTCCTTAGCAAGCTTCCAAGTTTTCCTAGCTCCTTTTCTGAATGTTTTCACATCTGTCAACACTTATTTTTTGTCTGTTACAATCCTCAAATAAGTTTTCTTTCTTTTAAAAAGGTGTATGACTAACAAATCCAAATTATATCCCTCTGAATCTTACACAATTATTTTCCTCCCATGAAATACACAACTTTAAAAAAATGGCTGCCGTTTACATTTTACAAAGCCAGGTCTAATATAAATTCGCAGTAAGTAACAGAAATATGGATGGATGGTTGGACTTTTTCTCCTACAAGAATTGTTTGTTTTATTATTAAAACAAGCGATCATTCATATTTTTTTAATAAAATGAATAAATATCACCGTCATTTAACGTTGATTGGCGAACTTATTTTTCAGCTCAAGACTTCTTGTTTTTAATGAGAAATTCCGACTAAATGGGGCTCTCAATGGGGAAAACAGATTTTAATATTAACGTTAAAATTATGGAAAATTCGTTTTAACTTGTTTTTTAAGCATAACATAAAAAGAAAATTTGTCTGTTTGTTGTGTAAGATGTAATTTTATTTCATCTCGTGAACTTTAAAAACAGTATTCTCACGAGTGGCTACGCCACTCGTGAGAATACTGTTTTTAAAGCCCACTCGATGTAATAAAATTTCATCTTACACACAAACAAACAAATATCCTCTATATATACCTATTCTTTGTGAAGATATTGTAGATTAGTAGCCTATTGTTATAAATTATCTACTTCCGTTATTCCACAAATTTGTATAAAATACACATTAACTGTTCTTAATTTAATTTCATCATTTATTTTTAGAGAATAATTCTAAAATTTCTAGTCTACAATAAATAGTTAAATTTAAGTTTTTCTTTCTCACACATGATAGATTTGTCACTGAGAATTAACTCCCAAAAATCCCTATACTGACTCTAGCTCTTGAATCTCATTCTTGAATCTCATTCTTTAATCTTCAATCATGAATGCCCCTAGAAAATCTTGGGTCAGTATTTTATGAAATACCTTATCTCTCCATAAACTCTAGTGTTGTCAAATTTAAACCTTATATTTATGACGACAAGTGTTGACCAAGTTACCATACCAGAAACAAACAGACTGATTCCTGGTATATTTATGATGATAACCGATGATTGAGTTTCCTAAACCCAACAATTGCAGGCCTCTTGTCTAGAGTTTATGAAGGTAGCCGTTGATAGAGTTGATACACAGTCTAGCCCCAATATATTTAATAGTAATAAACAATGACAACAAAGAAGGTTTTAATTCTCATGTAAACTCAATAATTAAATTAAATTTAAATTAAATCAAACCTTAACCAGTTGCATTGCTAAAACTACAACACTATTAGAAGCTGTTTTTGGCCATTTTAGTCCATATTATATGGGGGACGGCCTCATCGATCACCCTCAAGGCTTGCCAGAATTTGTTATAATTTTCCTTATTTATTTGAATCGTTGCGAATGTTTTATATATTATAACCAAATAAAAGTGGTTGAAACGTTAATTAGCCCCGAGTTTGACTGCATCATTTGGAATTCTTCCAATTTCTTGAACTCTGTCAGTGACATCGTTCCTGTCTGTTCCACGCTAAACCAATTAATTATTTACGCAAATACAAGTTGTGTTACAGTATGTTAACGAAATCACTGTATCCTGTCTTGCAAGCCGATACAATTTAATGTGTACCCTGTCTTGTGATTACAACCATGTGTTACTTCCGATCACTGTACATTATAATTATGTGTCCTTGAGTTTAGGAGAGACTCTTAAAATTTATAAGTGGCTCTTTAGGCTAACGGTGGGCTCCATTTGTATATAATGGCTTCTTAGGTTTAAAAGGGACTCAGATGACTTACAATGAGGCTTCTTAGATGTAAAATGTTATGGGCTGCTTACGTTTTCGTGGGGCAAAACATCAACAAGGGGCTTTTTAGGATAATGATGAGCTCTTTATATTACAAGGTTTTTTATGTATACAAGGGTTTAGGTGGAGCTTAAAGGTTAATTAGGGGCTCTCTAAGTTTATGAAGGGTCACTTAAATTTTGTTGGGGATCTTAAATTGCTTTACATTCCAACAGTTATTTTATGAAGTTACCATGTCATCGTGGAATTGTCATTTGGTATTAACTGCATGCTGTCCAACACTTTGTAGAATTTATGATTTTAAGTCAGCTCAATATGTTTTCATAATTGATTTTAAGGGTCTGTTTGCTTATCTATGTTCCGCCGTACAATATAATAATGAATGATGTACATTTTCAGCTTAGATCATATTTTAGTAGTATAGAACTGGAATGATAACCTAAAAATTTGTAATCATTTTTAATAGTTTATTTTAGCTTGAGTCAGTTGTGTTTCATATAAAGAATTGTTAAAAAGTGTACTTGGCAAAGTCCCGCTAAGTGACCCTCTGTAGGACAATGGCATCTTTACAGCAACATTATCATTTCTTCACAAAGTAAGACATATAAACAAATTCAACCTCTGTATAGAAACACTTCTCAGTAACAACCGGTCTTTTTCTCCCGAAAGGTGTTGTTTTGCACAGGTTGTACTGCACATTTGTCATGGCATGAAGCTATTTTCAACAATTTTATTCCAGTGATTGATGATGTGTTAGAAAAAGAACATACACTCAATAGACAGCTGCTTGATGTAAAAAGATATCAGGAATGTCTTGGTCGTCCTGAGGGAGAAATAGCGGAAAGTGTATTACGCCTTCCTGAAGATCTTGTTCTTATAAATGTTGATGCCCAGAAATTAAAGTTAATGAAATATTCCGATGCTTTTCGTTTGGAAATAGAAAGACAACTTGACTCTTGTTATGCTACGATTGTTTGGCCAGAAGAAGGTGGAGAAGTTATTTTAAAATGCACATTGACAACTGAGGTCAAAGACTGCTCCAAATTGATAAAAACGTGGAAAAACACAGCAGCGGAAATTTTTGAAGACTTTATGAAACTCATCATAGTGAAAAAGGTGCAGATACTGCAGGATATATGGGGCAAGGTGATGGAGGAACTACAGACGTTCTATTTAGAAAACCCTAAAACAGTTGCTATATTTGTAGATAAGAATGAAGGTGTTATAACAGTGGCCGGAATTAAGAAAGTAGCTGAAGATCTTTCAACAAAGATTGAAAATATGACAAAAGTAGTTATGGCGAAGTAGAAAAAGAGCGTGTAAAAAATAAAAGAAACCATCACATCCTTGAAAAATATTGAAACTAGAATGCTTTTAGCTGATAAATTTCCTACAGAAATTGAAAAACTTTTCCCATACCTGAAAGTTAAGATAAATCAGAACAAAAATGAAACTCTCTTTGAAGGGCCGCTAGTGCAGGTACGAGATGCTAAATTAAAGATGTATGAATTGAAGGCTGGATTTGCTATAGATCGCTCCAAAAATGTTTCGGAACTTGCCACAGGAACATGTTATAGACAAGCTTAAAGCTTAACAGGTAGTTACACTTTCACCGTTTCCACTCAATCCATGGTGTGTCATTTATCACAGAGCCTAGTAACTATACAATAGAAGAATTTCCTGTGTTCTCTAATTGATTTTAGTCAAAGATCAATGTCAGTGACCTTGCATTTGACATTTTTATAGTAACTGGACAATCGTTAGACACAGAACCTTAAAATTGTTTGAGAACATTAAAAAGTGTTTAGGATCTATTTTACAGTAATTTTGTACATGGATTTTGACTTCATGTCTGCCCACAACTTAAAAAATATTAATAATTTAACATATAGTCTTCTTATTTTATTCTCTAATTATTATTTTTCTTAACACCTGATAATGTTCTTTAATTATTTCTGCTCATGACCGTAACGCATTGTCACTGCTAAGGATGAGGCATATGTTTTATTTTGACATATTTTATTTGCTTAGTACATTAATTAAATCTTATATTAAATATTTTTCATCAAGCTTCATTTTTTGTTGCTCTTTTTATTTATTTACAGTGTAAATTATTCTTTAAAAATTGACCAAGGAAAGAAATATTAATTTTTTTGAGCGCATTGTTAAAGAATCATATAATGCTCAGTTTGAGTTTAAATGCATAGGAATGTTATCACGGTTGATATTTCTCTTCAATTATTTATTACAGTTTTGTTAATAAACAATTGCAATGTAAACTGGTAATCACTTCATTCTTTTTTCCCGCTATATATATTTGTGATGGGAATGATTTTGTCCGCCTTGTTAATTTCACGGGAGAGCTTTTGTCCGCCAAGTTATTTTCACGGGAGGGTTTTTGTCCGCCTTGTCATTTCTTTTGACGGGAGGGCTTTTGTCTGTTTTCCGTGTAAGCATTAAAGATTTATGATTCCCCCCCCCCCTTGTATTAATATACTTGCATGCAACTACATTTAATGTATACATTTTCAGAGGGGTCATATCTGACATTTGTTAGTTCCATTTTTTACTTTGTATAGTTGTTGAAATATGTTTGATTACCTTTAATTTCTGTGTAAGAACATTATTATTTATACTATTATACATAAACTTATTGTGATGTGTTGGGCGGTTGAAGATGACAAATTCAAGTTAATACAAACTCTGGTTTATCACCCAAGGTAATGTTTCAACTTATTTCTCCATCATTACAAGGAAGTCTATATTTTATATAAAATACGGATTTTGGTACAATAAATGCCTTTTGGACTCTATTTACAGGTAAATATCAACATCGTTCGCAAATGTCAACAAAAACGGCACAGTTTATCGCCGATTTAACAAAAAGTATTCAATTTGCAGAAAAAAATCAAATACTGCCCCAAACCCTGACATATTTAGCTTGACGGGCTATATCCGGTGGACGCTGTACAACAGTGATGATGTTAATCTAAATAATGACGAACATAAAAATGTTTATAACAATCATGATAATTATGTAACGGATTAAATTACTGGTAAGTTATCCAGGAAGGCTAATAAGGTGGGAAAATATGATCAGATCTATTTCCAACATTTTGTTTATATCATTGGTATGTTCATATCGGTACTTTTTGTTTTATGTTGCACCAACACTGTTAAGTTCAAATGTCAACTTTTCAACTTTACTGGTGAAGAAATACCTTAAGTGGCCTAGTGTGCATTGTTTTAGATACGGAACGGCGCCACAAAAGAGTTTGAAGTCAACGATGTCGATCTAAACCACTCAGCCACATATTTATTTTGCAATTAGTCAATGGTTAACTTAATGTACATAAGATATCCATATGAATAAAACAGGTGAAATATACAACTTAATATATTATCTAAAAGCTCATTTAAATATTGTCAAGCTAATCAAAGCTTAACTAATCGATCAAGCTGACTGAAAATGAAATAAAAATTACATTTTACAGTTTGATCTACTATCAGTAACGGTTATTGTACTATAAACAACAAAATCACTTGGAAATAAAACATAACAAAATAGGATATTAAGTGGAAAAGTTTTGCAGAAAATTACCCGACATAGACTACAATCATATTCATTATGTATTTAGATATATTTCACAATTTCTGAGGTAACGACTTACAAAGGGCTTCAGTAGACAAGTGACGAAGTTCCCCTCACAGCTATAAATTATAGTTTTATACATCAGATTATAATTGTATTTTAATACTAATCAATACCACCATGGCTATTTTGCACACATGTCTTAGAAAGTTGAAAAATAGATTTTGATATTTGAAATTTAATTATAGGAAACCCCAAAGGGGGAAATTTTTAAAAGAAAAAAGTTCATTTTAGTTTTTGGATCATTTTTGAAAAATTTCCCTTTTGATTTTTATTTTACAAAATATTGTTTAAATTTCGATAGTTTTAGAGTCATGTCCCGGACAAGATTTTTCTAAAAGGGAAGATAATTCAAAAACGGGGCAAAATAGAGTTATGGTTCTCTGACACTTCACTCCGCCTCGATGTGCTCTACCAATGTGTGAACTTTAAACAAATTATCTCCAAGGGTTTTCAAATTATGCTCCGGACTAGACAACGGACGGACAGACGGACAAGGCGGCAACTATATGCTCTCCCTTTTGGGAGCATAAAAACTGTTATATTATCAAAAATGAAAATATCATGGAAAAGTTTTACAGAAGGACTCTGCGATGGGTTTTTGTGCACTGCACTTCAGGTCAATAAAAAAATTTTGCATACGAAATTTGGAGTCAATCAAACTTATAGTGACAAAGTTATGCTCTGGACAAGACAAGCCTATTAAGTATGAAAATTAACAAAAGGCAATACCTCAAAAATCATGAAGTGCAGAGTACAAGTTTTTGTGCACTGCACTTCTTCCTAATGTGCTCCGTCATCGTATGAAGTTGCAAGTCAATAACTTTTAAATTTTGGAGAATTGGCCCGGACAAAATAAGTATTAAAAATAATAAAGACAATAACTTGTAAATCATGCAGATAAGAGTACCGGTTTTTGTGCACTGCTATTCGTCTAAATGCTATCTATCATCCTTAAAAGTTTCCAGTTCATGGCTTTTATAGTTTGGGAGAAACGGCCTGGACAAAAATAAAGTATGAAAATTAACAAAGTGCAGAGTAACGATTCTTGTGCACTGCACTTTAGGTCATTGAAAGAAGCATGCATACCAAGTTTGGAGTCAATCCGACCACAATGAATGACTGAGTCATGCTCCAGACAAGGCTTAGGGGACTACGCCAACGCCGCCGATGAAAAACGTAACCTCTATAATAATGTTGACTTTTTCAAGGCGACAAAAAAACTAATACATATTTGTGGATTAATGAGCAAATATTAGAATGAGCTTTTTTCTCGGCTTTAGTTTCAAAGAACATCACCTTTATAAGTCAAGACTTTATCTCCCCACTAATCCAAAAGACTGTAGGCCAGAGTGATCTCCAATTATTGATTTAACAATTTTGCAATGAAGGTCAAATTAACTTTGACCTTTGACCCACTAACCACAAAATCAAAAGGGGTAGATTTACAAGTTCCGATTGAAGGAATAATTTTCAAATGCTATCAGAATTCAAACAAAAAGTTACCGAACAGGATAAATTGATGTCATAAAAGGAATGTTAACAAAATTATCAAAAACAAATATACTCCCTTACCAAGGAATCTGGATTTGGATCTTCTGCAGTATTGTAACCAAAAACTCTAGTTGTCATTATGCCGCTCAATTCTAAACATGGGCATTTATCTTGAATAAATGTTGTTTTCTTTATCACACCCTGATTTATCTGCAATAAAAAACTATGCATTACAAAACTATTACTAAACTGAAAAACTTATAATTATCTAATTTTTCTTCTCTTTTAATATAGAAGAATCTGAGATTATCAACTTATCAACTTTTTATGAGTGTCAATTTGCTCTTGAGGAATTTCTGCTTTCAAGATCTCATATCAGTATGTCAACCAAATTTTAACTTTCTACATGTACTATGATTACAAGAGATCAGACGTAACGGATTCGATTTTGAATCAAAGAAACTTGAAATATATGACAAATAAGTTGCCTTACACGACAAGGGAATCAATGAAGAAGAAACCTTTTTAGTTTTAAGTTTAAACACACTTTGTTCACCGCTAGTGTTAACTTGCACCATCATTTTCAGCTTTCCTTGTCGTTTATTTTTTCCCAGTTATTATTTAGTGTTTGAGTAAGCTTCTGAGAGTCAACTGTTTTCACCATGTACAAGTTTGGTAAAACTGAACAATAACAAGATTTAATATTAAAAAACAACAACATTCAATTGCCTGTTTCACAATCAGCTATATCAAATAAATGTGTGCGGTTTAAAGCTGCACGCCTCCAGATGAGCCAAAATATTTCAAGAAAATTTAACTTGATAAAATATACTAAGATTTTAAGAAAAGTAAACCAACTGAAAAATCAAGAAGTAAAGTGCATGTTAAATGCAGTTAAGGACTGATTTTACAGTATTTATCAGCATATTTCTACTGTGTATAGGCTATTTTTGCTTATTTTGACCTTTTTTTGCTAATTTATGTGGATTGCTAGTACTGTTTGCAATGTGTAAATTATTTTCATTTTTTCACATCACAATATTTTAATTTTAGATACATTTTCAAAATTTTCATGAAAATAAGCATGATTTTGGAGTCTTTTTGATTTAATATTAGTTACAATCTCATGCAACTGTATATATATATATTACTGCTGAGTGCAATGCCTCATCAAATGATTCCTTATAAGCAAAGTAAGAGTATCGAGTATCAAAAGTACAATACTAAACATATTTTTTTCCACAAATTCCCTGTCATCTTTAATATATAAGACCTCGAGGCCATTATTCATTTTGCGGGCTGATTATTACCTTCCGGCCCTACTCTGCCGTGTTTTTATCTTTTATTATACATCTCCTAGTCTTCAGACAAAACCAACAACAACAATACACGTATTGTAACTATGTCGATTCATGTTTTAAAAGTCAAAATTGTATGGATATTAAAATTATATATGTACTGAAAGAGATTCTCACAGATCCGATATTTTTGTCAAGAGGAACAAACTTTACCTTCAATATACGTGTTGAAATTTAAAACTAGGCCATTTTATTAATGTTTCATTGGTCTGTCAAGATAATCATTTATGCTGAATAAAATGGAATTTAGTTCCATAACTTCAAAAATAAATACATTCTCACCGCTTGCAAAATTTATTAGTCTAAGACCTATTTCAATATTTTCACAATCATGTAGTTTCTAGAATTATTTCATATATAAAACAGTGTGAATAAAAAACTTAAATCCAATAAAAATGTGACAAAAAGAGACAGAAAAGAATGAATAATATGTGACTTTCTTAGCTTTGTTGTCTGTAAGTGTCCAATAAAGTTCCACATTATATCTTTACATTCATCCAGTATCTACAACATGAGAACAAATTTAAGAAATAATCAGTCAGTTCTAAGATTTCAATTATGTAATGTCATACAACCAATATCTATTATCAAATGATAGTGTATTCTTCACATGCAAATGTTCGGAAGTCACATTCTCTAGAAAAATTATATCTATATTTTTATTATACTATTTAGTATAGAAACTGCCAATGGAGCAGCTTACTATCAGTGCTTAAGCTTATTCAGTGTTTTATTTTTATAAAGCATTAAAAGCTGACCT